GCAGACCAATAATCTCGGGGTGTGCCTCACCCACTGAGAAACTCTCCAAATTTCTGGACCATTTCTTAAAACCAACTGTTAAAACTGTACCCTCATACGTCAAAGACACCAATCATTTTCTCTAAATTATACTTAGAGAGAGACAGAATTTTCCACCAGGCATCACCCTGTGAACCCTGGATGTTAAATCCCTCCATACCAATATACCACAGGATGAGGGTATTCTACACTGCATAATGGCGTTAATTGATTTGTATGCCACTAGATTACCTCTATCAACCACACACCTACAACAAATGTTTGCGTTTATATTAAAAGGAAGTTATTTCTCCTTCAATAAACAGCCATATTTACAGAGACATGGCACTGCCATGGGTACCCCTTTTGCCACAAACTTTGCAAACATATTTATGTCTGTTGTTGAACAAAATATCCTCTCCACAGCCCCGAGGGGAAGAAACCTCTACTCTGGAAACGATTTATTGATGATATATACATGATACGGCTACATAATTCAGGTTTCCTCTCTGAATTCCTTGCTCATACCAATTTCTTGCACAACACCATTAAATTTGAAGCACAACAATCTAGAGCAAAAATAGATTTCCTAAGATATGGCTTGTTCTTTGACAATGATATGGCTTTTTCCTGAGACTTCAGCCTTCCAAAAAATAAGCAGTTAAGGGGCCAGCTGGGTTGTGAGTCCAATGTGCTGATTGAGGCTAGTCTTCATCTCTAAGCAATGAATTTTCCGAAAAGTCAACATGCAAGCCACATGATTTGCCATCAACATTACTTTTCTTTTTTTCGAAAAACCTTTTCTATTGTTGCTTGATATAAACATGTATCAAGTATGCTGGAAGTTGCCTTTTAAGCTCGCTGAATGCTGACTCAACTGTCTCTGAAAGAGATTTTACTCGCATTGCTTGGAACGTTGAATATTTGACCAGTAGATCAGCAGATTCTCCATTTTGCATGAAAGATTCAATGTTTTTGCTGCATTCATCACATTTTAGACTCTTTGAAGCTGCATACAGTTCTTTGAAGTTGGGTCACTAACAACAGCAAATAGATATGCCTCGTCAAGACTCATTAGCATGTATCTGCATTGCACATATTCCTTGAGTTTTTCCATTTGAATCTCTGGATTTGTATATAACTCTGTCCTTTCTTCCAGGGGCTTGCCAACCGATGTTATCATTGCTGTATAAAGCAATTGCAGCAGCATCAATCTCTTTGTTGTCTTTGTTGAAGGTTTTCACAGACAAACGCAGTTTGATTAACCAAAGGTAATAATATGAACAACTAACTAACCTAATACAGTAATGCTCTTTTATATGTCTATTGTAATGTTCTAGAAGTTTATAGAAAGTATCGTTCCAGAACATTCGAGAAAGCAAAAGTAATTATTATTGCAGAAATTAGAATTGAACAGATACTATGAATATACTAAAATGATATGAGAGATTAAACTAGAATGTTCTACAGTACTTTGACAGTCTGGTAAGAGTGTATATTTCCAACACTCTTCCTCACTCGCTGCCGCACTGTTCAATTGTTTCTTTGACTCTAATCATAGTTTCATAGTTTCCTAATTGATGACAGCTCAAACCTTTTGTCAGTACGTCAGCTATCATGTTTTGAGATTTACAATACTGTAATTCTATGTTACCAGATGCCACTTGCTCTCGAATAAAGGGATGTTTGATGTCAATGTGTTTTGCAGTTCCATTGAACTGTGCGGTTTTTCTGTCTTTCCAGCAAAAATAATGTCATCAACGTAAACAGCAATTAAGAAGACTTCTCCTCCTGAAGCTGTATAGATGCCTGTATCACTTGTAGCTTGTTTGAATTCCATTTTCTTCAGGTTCTTGTCTAGTTCTTCATTCCAACATCTAGGTGACAGCTTCAGTTTTGTTTCAGCTAATCCAGATAAGAGTTTCAGCATCCCTTGTGTCTGGGAATCCGCTTTGTGGAATGTGGAAGTGATCCATTTTTTGGATGCACCAAGAGCATTGAGTCAAAACAATTATTGAAATCTTCAATGTGGAGAGAACAAGTACATTTTGTGTTTGGAAAACAACAGAGAAAGAATTGGTGAAACTGGTATGTTGTATTTTATGTGCCTTAAGAGGCCAATAATACAAATAAAAATTCTTATTCTATTCAAAATTAAAAGCTATTACACATGAAGTTGAGTCAGGGAAATTGCTAGGATATGTATATTGCTAGAAATCAAAACAATGGATGTGTCTGGTGAGAACAGCTCAATATTTATTACACAGAAACTAACTAATTCTGTGTGCATTGAAAATGTACCAAGGCACAGACAAACATGGGTTCCTTATTTCCTTGTTGAACGTCCAAAAGAGTTTGTACTGCACGGCCTGGAGAAACTGTCATTGGCAGGCAAACTTTCTCCATCGAGTGTGACTGTTGATTCAAAAGGAGAGGTGACTGTAAAGGGTGAACCAAAGTTGTACCAAGTTGTCTTTAACTATGCAGGGATGCCAACCTGTGATTGTCAAAACTGGAAACAAACGTTTCTGCTGTGCAAGCACATGTTTACTGTAATAACATTGTGCAAGCAATTTTCATGGGAGTCTTTTCCGATTGAAATACAGAGACTTGCCATTCTTTACACTGCATCCAAGCTGTTCACTTCAAAGATGTGACAGTAACGACCAACAAGAGACAGCCAATAGCAGAATAGCTGACATTGATTTTGCTGCAAGTAGTGATACTGTCGGTGAAATTGTTCTAGCTCATATGGTTTCTGACATTTGGCCTGTACAGATCCAAATTGCATCTAACTTTGCTCGTAACATCTTAAGACTAGTTTAATATCAAAAGTAGCCATTCTCAAATCATCAACATATACATTGAATCAAAAGGATATAACTACTTTCCAAGAGTTGCAATAAAAAAATCACCTTAATTGAAGATTTTTTATTATAGTTCAAGCACTTCAGAAAACTGAAACCACAGAGTGTGAACAAAAAACAGCAGAGCTGCCTCAAATAAAATCGAACTCAAGAACAACTGGATCTGCCTGTCGTGATCTTCTTGATCAAATTAGAAGCTTGACATTCACATGTCATAATGTCAAATCCCTGCAAAACATGAAGGGTCGGCTTCAAGAGATGCTTAATGATCTGCTATCTAGTGCAAAGAAATCTTACAGTCTCTTAACAAAGAACAGCCCATGCAAAAAACGGGGCAGGAAACGACAGTATTGCCCCAAAGAAAAACCAGATGTAGCATTCAAATATAGAAAGAGAAAGTCAGCAGCATACTTTTTTGGAGCTGGTCAGCTTTTCCTAAGTTTTGAAACATTGATAGAAAAGAAGTGTATAAACCTGTCACTGCACGCAGTTTCTTGTCATAAGCTTTGTTTTGTCTTGTTATTGATAGGTTTTGTAAGTCATAACTTTTTATTGGTCTGCAAAGTATTGTATTTAATGGCAGAAACATTGTATCAAAATTATTTTGGAATTGTCCAATTTTTTGCAAGAACAAACTCTTTATAGAATAAAGAAACCGAAGAAGAACATTTCGATGCTCAAAACATATTTCTGCAAACATTAAAAGGCAACAATTTTCCTGTCTCGATTTTTAAAGAAAATTCCTGCCTAAATAATCAAGAAAATGAACTTAAATCGTAATCCCAGAAGTCAACTATTTTCCAATCAAAATATACACAAATAACAATCCTAAAGGTGAATGTTCTTGCTCCGAGAAAGGTCGAGTGTTTTAAATCCTAACCCTTTCCACCCAGATTTAAGAATCATTTGTCAGTGAATTGGAATCATTTCAGAAGCAAGTGGGGATGGGAATTTTTATACCAAACATACCAAACAGTGGTAATAATCTACATCCCCAAGATACTTCTGATTACGTCTGGTTTAGAACTGGTGGAATAGCTCAGACAGACCAAGACAGAAATATCCTTGAGTCCAAAGATATGTGGTTGAATGATAAATACATAAATGCTGCACAAATCCTTCTAAAGAAGCAGTTCCCATATATTGGAGGTCTCGAGGATACTCTTCTTCAAAAGGGGCTTCAGTTGCAGGTACGAAATAGCAAATTTGATCAAAAAGTCAATGTGAATAACTCTCAATGGAGTGCAGTGACAAATATTGGTTTGGGAAATGTATGTTATGTGTGCATAATGGATAGCTTGAGGAGTACATACTTAACACAAGAGATAAAAGAAATAATTGCATCAATTCTCCATTCTGCCAGCCCACATACACTAGTGAAATTTGACAATGTCCCTAAACAAAATGATTCAAGCAGCTGTGGACTTTTTGCTATTGCTTTAGCAACAATGCTCTGGAACAAACTGGAGCCTGGGAGGTTTTCTTTCCAAGCTGACCAAATGCAAGAGCATTTGACGCAGATTTTTATAAATAATAATTTGTCATTGTTTTTTGTGCCGTATCACAAGTCTTGCATCAGTCTAAAGAAAGTGTTACTAAGCTTGGTGAGTGCGAGCACTTTGTAATAGGTAGACCCTATGCAAGGAAATAGACAATGGTACAGTATTACTTTTTCATTCAACCTGTAAACAATATATTTTTTCATTTCAAAATATAGTTGTTCGCAGAAACAGCTACTTTTTTGGGCTGTGCTTTCAATTAACAATAATGTCAACAGACAATTTATTTATCTAATTATTAGGTTTTTGGAGTTCACTATAGTGCTAACAGTTAAAGTGCTACTGCAACGAAATTTTCGAATTGTCTTTTTTGGCCTTAAAAGAAACTTCAATCTTTGCTGAGAAATATGATATAAAAATAATTAGCAGCAACACATTAAATTGTTTACAAAAGGCCGCCAAAGTTATTAGGTCATGGCGAATTTCGCACATCGCGTGTGACGTAGAAAGTAGAACACATTGCAAACAGCAAACAACAACAAAGCGCACTCCGGTCAGACGTCAGTAGATGCCTGTCGAAGATGGATTCATTTTAGTTTTACCAAATTAACGCAAGATGTCGGACAGCGAATACAGCAGCACCGAAAGTGTTTCAGAGCAATTTTCATTAATCGATAGTTCAACTGACGGAGATTATGAAGTTGTGAACTTACAAGCTCACGCTCCATACCAAGACGAACCACTGGCTCTGCCTGGGCAAGCGCGAGTGAATTTTGAGGAAGACAAGGATGGCATTCCTCGTGAAACACTGGAGGCCAGATTCGAGAAGAGAGTTGCTGTGAATGACTGGTAGGTGACTTAAATTACATATGAAGTATTAGATAAATTCTTTCCTGAGAAATTCAGTCACTCGCAGGGCCTAGACGACAGGCCCTCCTTCAATAACTTGGTTTAGGGCAAGCAAGCCTAGGGTCTACTTAGGCCCCAACGTGTGAATGAATCATTTAGTCCGAGCCGTCTTCGAAAAAAACTCGCATCTGTAATTTATTCACTCGCATCTTTTCCAATTCAAATCACGTTTTTACTTAACCCATTTAAATCTTCTTTCCTTTTCTAAAGGTGCTCGTGTTCACAGTGTAAAGATGAACTGTTGGTGGGTGCGTTAGAATACAGATGCTGCAGGGAAGTACACTGTGCTATTGGCAAGGCAGTTTTTGATGGCACAATTGATGGAATATCATGTATCATCCAACACCGCGATTACAACGCATTGGTCAATACAGAGGTCCTGATGATGGTTGGGCCTTTATTGAAAGACTCGCAAGGGCAAGCATACAAGAGAAGAGCAGGACAAGGCAGAAACGAGTAAGCTAATAGTTGAATAGTTGCAAATACTTTTAGAATTTTTATTTTTGAAGTCTAAAATTTGCGATAAAATTGTTTCAATCCACCAATGATAACATGATTATAACCAGAAGATACTTGTTGGTGAAAATGAACAAGACTAAAGCATGTTTCCATAACCCAAAAATATTCTTAATATTAAAAATTACACAATTGGCAAAACAAGCTATTCATGATAGCAAAATGAAAATACAGTATATATATTCTGTAGTTTTTTATAATTTCACTTTCAAGAGAATCTGCTTTTTGTGCAGAACTTTAAAACTCTGGCATCTCACCATAGCATTCCTACCCCAGATTGCAACTCTTCATACCCCAGACTAAATATACTTTTCTCTCCTATAAGCAACAGCAACCAACTATTTCTGCATACATTTAAAAATTACTTACTTGTCAGTTTACTTATTTTGATAGGTAAGCCATGTTACAGATCATAACAATAAGATAAAATAGATCAGTCTTTAGCATTAAATAAGAATCAACATATTTTTTCAGGCTATTCTTAGAGCTGTTGCCTACAGATGAGCTAATCGTTGGTTCTGTGTTACCTTGGTTTGGGACAACAGGAAGACCCTGCCGCTGCATTACCCAT